TATGGATGCATCCATAAGCCAACTGTACCCTAATCTTAATAGTGACAGCTTTCCCAGGGAAAAGCAATAGCCAGTACTGCAATTTTATTGCAAGTCATTTGCGACTTCGGTAAGCAGGACAATAAAACACCAAACCACATATTTTACATTCAAGGAAATCCCATCTTCCACTTCTTCATCATCAAACACCACACAAAACCTCCATTATTTTACAATCATACACAATGCGAACCACTCCAAAGTACAGACGTCACTGCAATCATACATACATCAAACCAAAGTTTAGATCTTTTGATGATACTCTTAAAGTTATTAGGGGCATATACCCTTAAATACTTAGTGGGTGTTTTTTAGCGCTAAGGATTTTGGTCTTTTTGACTGCATTCCAAGACTGCTGGAGCTGTGGGAAACAATCATAATGACCAAAAAATCCTAAACGTAGTCCAGCCAAGAATGAATTGCCTTTTGGTCGCAACCCAATGGGGGTAGGAACAATTCCTCAACCAGAACCTTTTTCACAGTGACGGCCACTGCTACAGGCTCTTCCATTTGGTTGCATGCATGGGAAGGTCTCCACATGAAGATGGGTGAACCCATCGATAATTGTGGAGAAACCTTCCCGGTTATAGGTATCACATTTTGAGCAGGTCACAGCCATCTGGAGCTGCTGTGACCCATTTGGAAGGGATACCAATCATCTTTACACCATCCCTTATGTTGGGGAGCGGGCGGAAGGCAGATTGACGTAGCTGCCCAATCTGAAACTGATCAATGTCAAGCTGAGAGAACATGCTTGCGACTTCTGACCCTGTACTGAACCTGCTTCCCACCACCTTCCCAGAATTCAAATCTCTGTTATCAGACGATTGATGTGCATCAGAACTTGAAGAAGACCCAACAGCCTGAGAAATCTGCCCATTATTTACTTTGCCACTTTGGTTATTGCCTTTTGAATTCTCTGTTTTCTTTGTGTTAAGGAAGCGACCTCCACATCCCCTTGCACGCCGCATCGCATGAAGATGGCGTGATTCATGCAAATATGGCTGTAGAAAAAATTCGCATTCCAAACTCATTTATGAAAATGGTTACAACATGCATTAATGTTCCCAGTATACTTTCATGCAGCGTTTATATGGCTGTAGAAAAAATTCGCAATCCAAACTCATTTATGAAAAAGGTTACAACATGCATTAATGTTCCAGTATACTTTCATGCAGGGTTTTAAAAATCGGCGAGTCGCAACACTCGCCTGAGTGGACACGGGAATCGAGCACCCCGTGTCGATTCTTCAGAAAAACGGCGAATTGCCAAATCCTAGAGGAGAATCGACGAATTTTGAACAGTGAATCGTCCCTATTACGTTATAAATCGTGATTTCAGCCGCTTAGTGACGTCACCGGGCGAGTCCTTACCTAAGGACATTTTGATACTTTTTTTCAAAATATCATTTCAAGCATTAAGGCTTTTGTAAAAGTATTTATATCTTATTGACTTTCTCCAATTCTTTGATGTGAGATTTGCGCTAAGCGATATTATAATGAAAATTTATACAATATGGGTAATTATTGTACAAAACTCTTCAGTAGCGCGCGAAGGGCTGCCGTGGTTAACAACAGAGGTTTTATTTGTGATGTCCCAAGTTCGAATCCCAGTTGGGACGCTATTGTGCAAAATTCACTTTTTGTCTTTATAAAAAAAAAATTTAAAAATAATATCATAAAAAAAGAAGAAGATAGGTTTTTACTTTGTCTTAAAAAAAAAACTAAAATTTGTCTTCATAAAAAAAAAAAAAAGATAGGTTTTTACTTTTCTCTTAAAAAAAAAACTAAAATGAAGAAAATAATATGATAAAAGAAATAAAAAAAAAAAGGGTAATACAACAAGCAAAAAAAAAAGTAATATAACATCTTCTTCTTTTTTCTTGTCAAAAAAAATAAGAGTAATACAACAAATATCATATTTTCTCGTAAAAAATAAATACAAGTATTTCTTATAAAAAATAAATAAAATATATTTCTTAATACAACAAATATTTTTTAATACAAACTGAGAATAACTGATCTAATTATAATTTTTATTTTTATAATATGGTAGGCTTTAACATAAATTTAGGAATATTAATTTTAAGATATGATTCATACACATTTGAAATATTTCTCTGTGTCTAATAATCTCTTCCATTAAATTTATTCTAGAATTCTACAAAAAATATATTTTAAAAAATTCGAAGTGTTATTTCGAAAATTGATTTGCATTCGAATAATTTATATGTTGATAATCAAATATTTTATTTATTTATTTGCATTATAAATCTTGTAATGTATTATTTTTCTTACAGTTGTCAATAATACATTTTAAATTAAATGATATTATAAATTATTTTAAATTTGCTATAATTTATATAATAAAATATAAACCAACAATTTTCGTTGCAATATATAATATTATATTTAGATAGGTTGTAATAATTTTGGATTATAGTTTGTTAGGTTGTAATAATTTGGTTTTTTTTTTTTAGTGGATTAGGTTTTTCCGCCCATTCAAGATTTTAGTGGCCATTTTTTATCGATTTAATCCATTATTTATTGTAGTCTATGTATGATTATATATTTTATCCATGGTAATTCTATGTTTTTTGTTTTATGTGATGCAAATTTAATGGTTAACATAAGTTCATACAGGAAAAAAACATCTCAATTATTCACAAATTGATTAAAAATGAAAGTTAATAATGTAATACCCGTATTTCTTATTGGATTATTAAAAAATAACTTTTATAATGAATTTTCATAATTTTTTTGGATTTTTTTTAAGGCTTAATAGGATCGATTGGGCCAATTCTCGAGCCGGATCGCCGATTCACCGATCCTGATGGGTTTTTGAGTTGCCCGATCCGGGGCACCGATCCGTTTTTTAAACCACTGCTTTCATGTATAATAAATCTTGGGGGCTAGTTTTTGCATACAGTTTTAGTGATCATATCCATACAATCCAGACCCATCACTTGCATCGATGAATGATCTGCATTGTATAGATTGGTTGCTATTACAAAAACATAGATGCGGAAACTAGAGTGCTAAATATATATCTAACATTTATGCCATCTATAAATATTCTACAAATATCATATGTAGATTAATTGGCTCAAAGATAACTTCACTCATGAGGCATGAAAATTTCATATTTTCTGTTTGAAAAGGAAAATGTATAATTTTGGTTTACATAAAACTCATTGAACACAAAAACGAATATGTAGTCCATGCAAAACTCAAAAAGGCATTGAACTCAAGGCTCCAACTTTTTGATAAATAAATCAGGGTGCTTTCATAATAATCCAAGATACTATTGTCAGGACACTCAGGTGAAAGAGCATGGAGTGAAGTTGTCTTTGTGAACACTACAATTAAATTGGGCACCCCTTGAATTTTTACAAAGAAAGGAGTGAAGTTGTCTTTGAGAAAATTACATTTGGGTTCACAAACTCACATTTTTTGCAGTATATCATTGATATATGGCAATACTAACAGCATTTGATCTTTACAACTGCAATTACATTTCATGCTAAAAACAACTATACAAGGAACATACCTTCCTAGCTTTGATCACCTTATTCTCCAGTTCTGCCTTTGCTCGCGATTGGCGACGCCGAAGGATTTGGCGATACTGCTTTGCATTTACATATATTGGTTGTTCATCTTCAGTCATTTCCAGTGGCAGTAGTAATCGTCCATTCTTCATGCCAAAAGACAAAAATATGGATCATATATACTGGTCAAACAATTTAAAATGGCAAATATTTTTTTTCATCGATAAAGTTTGACTTTGTATTAATATTAGGGCAGATTACATGGTTGCATTAGAGTAACGTGAATGCCAAAACAAAATTTGTGCAATGAACCAGACAAGATGTCCTGTTTGTTTTTTAAACATTAACTATGGGTTAGCAATTTTTGAAACTGTTAGTAGTTTTCGAAAGGGGTTAATATTGGTAGGAATGGAAACCAAGACCGATAGCTGAGTCACAAGTGGAGCTACCACCTTGACCTCAACCCCATTCCTCTAGACAAGATGTCCTATTCAGGGCTAAGCTCTGGTTACATGAAAACTGTTACTGGCTGGACCTTCCTTTGCCAATGCATCCCCAACCATGTTGGCCTCTTGAAACTTTGAAAGAGGATCGTCAGGTGATGCAACTCTCAAAAAGTTGGTCAAACAATTTCTCTTACGTGCCAGGGTCAAGGGGTCCCCCTTGCAGCCTACCTGAGAACATCCATAGAATCTACTTCCACTTCAAGTGTGAAATCCCAATTGCAATAAGACAATCTAAGGCCCTCCAACAGCACCACAGCGTCATCCTGGGTTGAGTTTGCTGAGCCAGTGGACCCAGAGAAGGACTATTTGTTCAGGCACATAGGATCCAAACACCCACCAATTGAGCTTAATGATGCCAAGAGGCAGAGGCAACCACAGATTGGATCTCGATTTCGCCATAGGTTGAGTTTTTTAGGATATGTTTTGGGTAAAGTCTGGACCCACCACATGGTGGTGTTAATCTTGTTCTTTAAAGTTCCAACTGCTTTACTCTCAAAGATTAGGGAGTTCCACTCCAAACATAGTGACTAAATAGAGGCTAACATGGTAGCGAGCCATAGAAATCGACCAGTGACAATGAATTGTGGGGAAAAATAAACCTAAATATAGTTGTTGGACATTCTCAGGCCACACCCACTCCCAGTCTGGGGATAAAAACCCAAATCTGGGCAGCAACCAAGCAATGGAGGAACAGGAGTATTGAGAGATGGAATCAGAAATGAGAGGAGATAAGGGTGTGATCTGCGGGGTCCCATAATACCCAAATTCGTCCGGAGGCCCCAGCTGTTGGCAAGGCTTCCCATTGGCAAGGTCTACGGCCCCACACCTATCGAATGAGGTGAAGGGAGGGGTAAAGGAAATTTGTCCCAAACCCCTCACATTCCATGAAAGAGTTTTCATGGGGGAACCAGGTGGGGGGGTAGCAAGTCTGGGGGACCTTCTCAAAGGAGGAATAATCAGGAGAACTGGTGGAGCAGCCACCCTGAGAGAGGCAGAGGTAGAAGCGGTTCTGTCGTAGTTCATCCCCAAAGACAGATTGCCGACTTCCCTCTTTCATTTGTTACTTACTCTGAGTCTAGACTGGGCATCGGCCTGGTAAACCTGGTTTTGTTACTTACCCTGAGTCTAGACTGGGCATCGGCCTGGTAGAAGAGGTGGAAGGGGCCTTCAAGCCCGTTTTAGTGAAAACTCATCACCTTGAGAACCTCTCTGATATCGCCCTAAGCACAGTCCATATTGTCCACAAAACTGGAGTCAACGGAGCTAGAGGGCGGGGGAAGGGGGATGCTTTTTCCCAGTGTAGGGATTGGGACGGGGGGAGGGGTTCAAGGCTGGAGAGGAAGGGCGAGAACACAAAGAAGGAGTTCCCAAAGGCTCTGAAAGAGGGGATTTAGAAATTGGAGTGGGAGTAGGTGAGGGGGGGGGTGTATCAGAGTTGGGGGTCAATCTGGGGGCCACTGGGATAGCAGCTAAACGAGAGGGGTTTAAAGAATTGGTGTGAGCTGGCTAATGAGAGGGCTGATAGGAGGGTGAGAGGATGGAAGGAATAAGGGCACTAGGGTGGGGATGAAAATACGATAGGGGAGGGAGCCCTGGTCCTGAGAAGTTATCAGGAATGAGGGGGAAAGGGGGCCAGAGGAGGTAGGGGATGAGGATAAAAAAGGTTCAGAGGGAGTTGAAGATAGGAGCGCTCTGTGGATTGCCAAGCTAGGGGTACATGGGGAAGGATGGTTTTGTGAGAGAAAAGGGATTCCAAATAATTTTAGAAGATAAAGTTAACTGGTCAAAGTCTAGATAAACTAAAAGTGGATATGGATCAAATCTCAGGGATAAGGTTCTTAAATATCATCTCTAAATCATGATGGCTAATCGGAGACATGGATAAATTAGATTAAATTCTTTCTCATTCATAGATTATCTAAATATTTTAAACAATGTTAAATCCTAATCTGATTGGACCACCATAGAGCCCTTGAGGCCTATATAAAAGGGGGTCACCCCTCATTCTCTACACATCTCTAATCTCTCTCGCCTTCTCTTGCTCTCCCCCATGCCACCTCTCTCATCTCTCTCTCTCTCTCTCTCTCTCTAGCTCTTCTTCTCTCTAAGAAGGTGGCATGCCACCCCCAGAAGTGTTTAGGGTGGCACACACCTCTAAAATAGAACTATGAAGTGGAACACCCAGCCCTAGCTTTAGAATAGAGGAGGTGCCACTTTGTGACATGCCCCAAGGTTTGAAAAGAGGTGAATAAAACCCCAATTATGACCCATGCTCTCAGCCCCATAAGTTTCTCGGAAAATGGTGTTCTACAAGTGCTTCCCAATTTAGATTGGTGGATTCAACATGTTCTTAGATCAAGTGCGTCATTAGTCCGGTAATCGGGTATGTGGTGTGCTAATCCCTAAGGGTTACACCCTGGCCAAAAGTCCGGCAAGTCTTCCCTCTTTTTATTCTTAAAATTGTTAGTTTAAATTATGTTTGATAAAGTTTAATTTGGCAATAAGGTTTAAAGATCCTAGATTGTAGTAGGTTTATTTTTATTGTATTGTGGGATCTATAAGTAGAAATTCCAGTAATTAATAAAGAAAAGAGAGAACTTTTAAATTTATAGCCTGGATTTTACATAGCCACTCCTTTCAAGCATCATGTTCATCTTTATCTTTGCTTTGTTCTGCCTTTTTGGCCAAAGCTTCAACCATATTACATGTGAAAATTGCCATGGGCATGTCACACTCTCCCCAGATTTCGAAGGGTAGAACAACTTATTATGTTATATCTTGTAGGGAACGCTCTGAATATTGACGCTTGGGCCTTGTGGCCTCATCTTCTCAAATGGGGGGTTCATGAGCCTGGAGCCCATTTTCCATGAGTGCCCAGGCATGGGCATATTCATTCTGCCCCTCCAGCCATTGCATGATGAGCCTTTCGCGCGAGTTCTGAGGCAGATTGCGTGGAACCCGGGATTGATAGCTCCCACTGCTGTATCACCACCTTCGAGTGCTAACGTCTTAGGGTTTCACCTCTTGATGATAGCACATTAGTATATGCTCTCAATTTCCTTTGAAAGAAAGACGAGTGAACCTGTTGCCCCTGTTAGGTGCTGGGTAGATATCAATCCTCCTCAGCTGGCTCACTAGTTGACACCGACCAAGGTTTCTCAATATCAAGGTGGGTTGAGGAAGATATACCTGCCCCTTGAGTGTCTAATGAGAAAGTCCTGAATGGGCCTGAATTCTCTCTGCTGGTGTGGGAAGTTGTTGATGTGCCTGAGGTTTATTTGCTTGATGAGTTCGGACCCTTGAGTTATTATGTCGACAATTGTTTCAAAAAGCAAACCGCCCAATGCCTGGGCGGCCGCTTGAGCCCGCCTAGACGGCCGCCTAAGGCCTGTGCCCCACCCAGGGGCAGAAATGTGGCTCCTTGAGGGCATTTTTGGGTCATTTTTGAAATACGAAAGGGGAAAAATTATGGGTTTTAGGCTCCTTTGAAACCCTACACCCATTTGAGGCTATTTTAGATAGAGAAAAGCCAAAAAAAAAATATTTTCTACTGGGCCGCCCAGGTTCTGAGAGCCCGCCTAGGCGCTGGGCCCTCCGACTGCCTAGGTGCCGCCTAGCGCTTTTTGAAACACTGATGTTGACAGTCTATAGGCTTATTGCAATCAAGACAAAGACACACTAGAGTTCTATTTTTAATTTGAAAAACTGTGGCTCCAATGGTTTGCAACCGGGGGCCTATGAAGGACCCCATAAAGAAGTGAATCTCTAAAGTTTTGAGGAGTTTGGGCCCAACAAAGAACGGGGCTCTATAGTTTTGGGGAGTCAGGACCCCATAAAGAATTGGGGATCTAGAAATTTGAGGAGCCGAGGTCCTATAAAGAACCGGGGCTTAGAATTTTAGGGAGCCAGGGTCCTGTAAAAAATTGGGGCACTAGAGTTTTGAGGAGCCAGGGGCCCTACAAAGAACCTGGGCTCCATGGATTCCAATATGGACCGAGGATATAGTGAGAACCAACGCTCTACTCCTGTTAGGCAAAGTATGGAAATAGTTTCCTAGGAAGACAAGGCTCTTTCAAGACAAGGCTCTTTCAAGAGCCGACCACCTGGCTAGATTTTGGGTGACATCCACCAGTGCTCTAAGAAGAGGCATGGTGGAAGGGGCTTGGTGCTAAACTGGCAAACTATGAGGAATTCAAGGACAGGGGATCTTATGAAAGGCCAGAGTTGTTCGAGAATTTTGAGGAGTCGAGATCCTGGTAATGACAGGGGCAATTCCTTGAGTATGAAGAGTCGAGGCCCTACCAAGGACTGGTGCTCACGACCAGGCTAAGAAACCGGAATTCTACTAAGAGTTAGCTTTCTTGCCTTGGCACATGTGATTGTGGCACTCGGCGCAGTGGGTTAGGCCTGGGCTGCCACCAAAGATGCTTCTGCAGTGCATTGGTCAATGAAAGTCACTATAATTTTAGTTGGGTTGCCTCGTGATACAAGGTCAAAGACTCATGTGCTTTATGGGCCTTTTTAGATTAGGATCACATGCATAATTGAGCTTTAGGCTGTCAATTATGGGCAATGAAAAGGCTAAGCCAAGGGGCGAGCATTTAAATGGTGGCCCCATGGGATGGTGGTTGTGATCTTGC